GCTCGTTTCACCATCTTCTCCTTATGGCTTTCCTCTATTTCTAGCTCGTTTCACCATCTTCTCCTTATGGCTTTCCTCTATTTCTAGCTCGTTTCGCCACCTTCTCCTTATGGCTTTCCTCTATTTCTAGCTCGTTTCACCACCTTCTCCTTATGGCTTTCCTCTATTTCTAGCTCGTTTCACCACCTTCTCCTTATGGCTTTCCTCTATTTCTAGCTCGTTTCACCATTTTCTCCTTATGGCTTTCCTCTATTTCTAGCTCGTTTCACCATCTTCTCCTTGTGGCTTTCCTCTATTTCTAGCTCGTTTCACCATCTTCTCCTTGTGGCTTTCCNGTTTCACCATCTTCTCCTTGTGGCTTTCCTCTATTTCTAGCTCGTTTCACCATCTTCTCCTTGTGGCTTTCCTCTATTTCTAGCTCGTTTCACCACCTTCTCCTTATGGCTTTCCTCTATTTCTGGCTCGTTTCACCATCTTTTTTGTTCTTACGATTCCTCCCACTATTTATCTTTTCATCCCACAGTGCTCTCTAACAAGCCGAGAGAAGATGAAACTGTCAAGCGCACCTGTCCACACCAATCCCGCCATCACGACATGTGTAGAATCCACACTTATTTTTCATAATTGTTGCAACACGGTTCTGCCAATTTAGTCTTTTGTAATTAAAGACTTTTTTCAGATTTTATCATATTTATTGTTTTTCTCTTAGAATGATTTTGACACTATAAATTAGAGTTAGTATTCGTTAGTGTTGGTCTGTATCACGTCTTGCATGTATGTAACTGCAAAACAAATAGGAAACTGTCTCGTTATTTTAATAATCCGGCATCAAACTGTTCAAAATGAATTTACATTCAAGGACCTTTTATTCAGCAATATTTCCTAGCTATTGTACATCAATTTTATAACTATCAAATTAAAACTATTGATATATCTGTTCCATTGTTCTTTTCGCTTTCTCAACCGAACTTTAATTCAAATGAAATTTTGAGAAGAGAATTTTTAGAGAAAAGAATTGACAAGAAAAGAATGAAACGTTTGGTTCATTTGCTTCGGGTTTGTTTACTCTGCTGTCTCCCGTGTCACTCAAAACCAGCTCTCATAGGACAAGAAAGTAGTAACGCCGTATATCAACGTAAATCTGGTCAGCTAAGCCGGCCATGAATAATTATCAAGGTCTAAATCTTGATCTAGACCATCCACCCACCTGTAAACTAAATACTATGCCTTAACTCTATGATGCGGATTTGTAATCATGCTGTCTAGTTAAATTTTCCTTCCTCGGTTTTAGGTCCCAATTGTAAACCCTGGTAGCTGCACTTCATTTCCTCCACCATCTGACCGAAAGGCTTATCACTTTTGGCAAGTGGCGAAATTTCTTGTTGATGTTGCTGCTTCGGTGACCCTGCAGTTTCTCTACCAGTCTGAATTCCCAAGAATCTTCTTGCAGCAACAGCTGCTTTACCAATACGTTGAAAGTTTTTGCGCGCTTTCAAAGCAGCTTGGTGCTCACCGTCATTAGGACCGAATTCATCCAGATATTCCCCATTATTCCCTGCTTGTTTACTCTTAATCCCCAGTAAGAGATTTGGATGAAGGTCGTGTCCATTTGCTGTCGGTATTTGCTTGATTTTCGTGAGCTCGTTAGTGAGTTTTGGCGAGATTTTCCACGGTTGGGATTCAAAGATATCCGGAACAGACTTGTCTTCAGCAAAACTAGCCAAGTCGCCGATTCCAGGAGAAACTTTGCTGTGAGCGCTATTGGTTTCGCCTTCATTCGTGGTGGCCCTTGGCGATTCTGTCGCACTAGCTGATTTCATTTCCGCGGCGTATAAGTTTTGTGAGAGAACAGTCGATATTTTTCTTTTTGGCCAAACCAAACCGCTACTACCACAATCCTTACGAAGTGCCTTTTCGGCTTTATAAGATTCAAGTAAAGTTTCTTGCTTCTTATCAAGGTAAAATCCCGGAGGTGGTGCGGGCAGCGAGACGTGCCTTCGTCTTTCCACTTTATGAGGTTGAAGTGAGCTTTCCGATTCCTGCCAGGCTTCTTTTATATTAGAAAATGGAAAACTTTCTCGTGATTGGGCTGTTTTTCCATTGTTTTCAGTTTTTCGATTATCTACAGCACGGTTTATTGAGCTAATTGTGGGGGCGTTGAGCATATCAAGTGATCTTTTGGGCCTTGGACTTAAAGATATATCTTCCAATCTTTTCGTCGCTTGTGACRCTCTCCCATAGTCATTAAACGATATTTTGCGACTTTTTGTTTTACCTACTTGGGATTTTGACTTTACGGCTTCGCTTTCTTTTGGAGGCATAAAACCTCTAAGAACAAATTGGAATTCTTGAGAGCCAGGACTAACACCAGATTGAGAAAGCCGTCGTAGAAACAGAGCGTTACTCGAAGATTTACCATTTTCTCCCGGCTTCGTTGACGTCGAAATCGGAGTTGAGCTTTTTCGAACCCGAATGTTCTGTTTTTGTCCAAGACCTGAAAGTTCGTGGCTTTTCGTGTTGTTTGGAATTGGTTTTGTAGAATTAATGTCCTTGGCTTCAATTACTACTTGTCGCCCATTTTGTCTGGGTTGTTTTGCGACTCTTTTAGGAAGTAAATTGTCTCTTGCATTTACCTTCTTTGAAGAGTCTATAGCTAAACGATCCATTTAAGACTCGAAATTTGCTAATGTTCCATTTTCTTTGTAAAAGAGCATGTGTTTATGCTGTAACTTTCCAATAAAATCGACAATACCCTACTGAGATTAGTCATTTTTAGTTATAGATCGATTTTACAGCATTCAACCGAMGTACTCATGGCCATTCATAACCGCGAGTATCAATGTTCGGAAGTACTTTACACAGCGTTCCTTGTTTTTGTGCTAACTTACTACAAAGTGTACTCGTTCTGAGTTTCCATGGAAGTCAGAACATTCAAGGATTACGACATTTTATCGCCATCAAAACAAGAATATCAAACACTCAGATGTTTACTGGCAAGATCATAGCACTATGTCAACACAGCCGCCTTCACAGCATTGAAATATTGCACTCAACATCACTGTGCTTGATGGCTGAAAGAATGATATTTTTTCTATTTGTATTTAAGGCACACACACAAAAGAAAACCTTAATCAAAATAAAGAACAAACAGTCTATTGTCAACTAGTTTCTTGTATCTGGAAAAGTGTTTCTTTTTCCCCGAATTATAGATATCCTAATTTTTGAGGTGTGAAAAGGGTTATGATTGTTCTTCCCAGACTGATATATTCAAAGTTTTGCTAATAATGATTTCTCAGCTAGAAACGGACAAAAAGGTAAGTATTGTTTAACTGTGCTTTCCTAATCCGGCACTGCTTTCTCCAGCCGTTACTAATTTTTATTTTGAGAAATGGCGTTTGTAATTTCAATGATTAACTTTATTTTCAGAACCCCAAATGATAATTGATGGGTATCTCGTGCCCTAGACAAGTTGCCTAACAACAGGAGCTTAAATAAACCTCTTGTTACTAAACTAAACAGAATATACATACACGTCGTATGCATGCATGTTTTTCTAGTTACTTAAACTCGAGTTATGTTGTGCTTTCAATCGAGAATAATTAATGTGTTGACTCTGGAACTCATGTATCTCGATAGCTTAGGGACCAGTCATTATCTAAGTCGGGGGGAGGGGGTGGAGGAGAAAATGTTTTTCATGCAAAAAAATCGTTTCAATCGTTTAAAAAATCCTCCTTTTGACCTTTCAAGGCCCCCATGTTCCACTAAAAAAATTTGAGGGCCCCCCNCCCCCCCCCCCCCCCCCCTCCCGACTTAAATAATGACTGGTCCCTTATTATATTGTAGCATGGTCTTTTAGGGATTTGGTTTACGCGTGACTCGGAAATGATGTTTTAGATGGAAAAGCGCTTGTCATTATTGAGTTGAAATATTAAGATAAAACAAGTTGAATATGAATAAAACAAATACATTTATTTGATTTCCTTCGCCGAGTTCAGACGAATGAGAACTGGATTTTGCATATTGAAGCGGCAAAGCATCATATTTAAGCCTTTGTTAATGTGTTTTTACTTGAATACTGTTTAATTAAACAACTAGTATGTCACGAGATAAGTGCATGTTGACAAAGTGAATAGGTCAGGAGATGTTGGAAATGAGATAAGCAAAGATTTTGCTAAGGATTCTTAGGTCTAACGTGGCAAACAGCTATTACAGTGATCTTTATCCACGCAACCTGCTTACGTTTTCGCTTGATACCTTTTTCTAATGACAAGAAAAACGCTGTTCAAAGTAATAGTCATCGATAGTCATCATTCAGGACTAACATATAGTTATAGTACTTTAGGGAAGAGTTTATCTTATACACGAACAGCCAAATATATTGATCATCAGACTAAACAACCTGTGACATTTGTATGAGAAAACATACACTAACAACTGCTTTTTTCTTGCTTCTTTATTGCCTTTATAGTAAATCCCGCGATCGTCCATACACAAGATCGATCGATGTTGACGTCTGATCTGTATGAGCCGCAAGGACACGTGCTCTTCACTCCTTGCGCTCTCTTTTTCTGTAGCGGATTTAACAATTTTTGAACTTTCACTCATATATAGTTTAGCTTTTCTCCAACATCTCCTCGCAAATAATATTTAACTGCTCGCATACTTCAAGGCTTAACGGTCAAAGCATATGCATTTGGCTAAAGTTATGATCAGAAGTAGTTACACCTCACCGGTACCGATATCTTTAAAATATATAGAAAAAAGCATATTTATTGCTCGAAACGTATTTAAGCAATACTGAAACGTCTATGCCGTGTCGGACAGAGCTGTATATGTATTCAAAGGCGGATCCAGGACTTTTTGAGAAGAGGGGTCCAAACGTATACTAAGGAACTTGAACCCGCCTGGAGCTCGGATTATTTTTTCCAAGAAAAATTCATGCAGTGAAACACAATTCATTCTTTCAGAAAAAAACACGTTGGACCTTTTCAAAACCGCACACTTCTATACTAAAGTGCTCCTAAGCCCTAACTCAAYATTTTCAGTATTGATTATACATGAAGTGAATAGTTGAATTATTTGAATGATGTATCTGGGAGACAACAAGCTTTATACTTCCAATATGCTAATGAATGTGATGTCTTTACTTTCTGACAAGTCCCTAAAGATCACAGTTTTTTGATCCACTAGACCGTCGAAAAATGTGCGAGGATTTTACTCTTGTGATGTGGCTCTGAGTATGATCTATGTCCCATTCTTTTCCACTTAATTATTACCTAAATCAGTGTTAAAAGAATGGAAATCTCTTTTAAATTCAGGCTTTDGCATTATTACGTACAATGATGCCGGAGTAACGATAGCGTGAATATGGCCATCAGTTCAGTCCAGAATATGGACCATCTCTTGACGTAACATAACATTGACTATTATTTGACTATGACTTGCGCTCGTACACATTACAGTGAATGGAGTCTCCTCTATCGACGTTGTGCACAATGGCCGAGTAAGTGAAATGGTCTCAGGGATTGTGCAGCATTTTTTCTTTAAAAGTCTTATCTTATCTCTGGCATAGTAGTCCTCACGGCTCATAGGACGGAACTATCAACACATGCAGTTAATGATGTTAGTCAACCACAACTGAGAAGGCTTGTAGAAACCGTATAGTCATAAGAAACGTCTGATTACGTTTCCACTACATCTATTCCATAGAATAAAAACATATCTTTACATAGCGTTATTATATATTCATACATTCTTTGTAGGAGAGAAAATTGTAAGTCATTTGCGTATTTTGCCGCTTGTAGAATATATACGCATATGTTTCTTGAAACTTCATTTTTCTTATCTATTCGCTCTTCTCGCTATTTCCCTTGTAGTTACTGTGTAGTTAGGCTCAAAAGCCATATAATCACCGCTTTTTGATCATGCGCAAAGAAAGGTCGACTTGGGGCAAGTGTGACATTGATTGGTGTATGCATCGTATATCAATGATAAGTATTGCCATACCTACTGCGCATTTGTTGTAATTCGAGAGAAATAGGACCATCCATTCGGATAGGCATTAAATAATACAAATCCATGTGACAAACCATCCCTACTTGAAACCTGATCAAAGACAAGCCGATCATTCTCGCTGGCTAATGTGTAGGCATTACTACAATCTGTCCTTTCACTCATCACAGATATTCTGAAGCTACGACCCGAAGTGTAGTTCAGATAGAATATGGGAGATCTGTGAACCAGTAATATTAGCTTCTTGTTATGAACTTCGACATCCAGTCGCTCTAGCAATGGCACATCAGTCGTGTTGTAGCTACCCWCGTAAACTTGGTAGTCCGGCGGAAGAATTATTTTCTATAAAACGAATCAGTCATGAATGTTAATGTCAGCATTTTGCAGTGTTAGGCAAAATAGTTCTACGGTTTTTAGTGTTGGTTTATGTCACCAATGACAGTTTGCTCTCAAAGTAATAGTACATGTCGACTATCCAAGAATTGCTTCCATTTGAACAGAGCCAATCAAATGCAGCCGGTTTAAATATGGAATCGTGTCAATATATGGCGGTGCAGTGCGGTGCGGTGCGGTGCGGTGCGGTGCGGTGCGGTGTGGTGTCGTGTCGTGTCGTGTCGTGTCGTGTCGTGTCGTGTCGTGTCGTGTCGTGTCGTGTCGTGTCGTGTCGTGTCGTGTTGTGTGTCGTAACGTATTGTTCTTCACCGCAGACAAGTTTTTTTTTTTTTTGCAAAATTTTTATTTCAATTTCGAAACTGAGATTCAAGTGTTACCTTCTGATAAACCTTTCTTAGCTCCTTTGTCATCGTTGGTACAATTCGTTTCTCAAAACTTTCTTTCACGATTGTTTGATATGTCAAGCGACAATTGGTGCACATTACGTTAAAAGCTGAAAACAATATAATGTTCTTAAAATTATACAAGTTAGTATCTATGTATCTGAAATAATTCAAATCTTTCATTAGTATCTATCCATCGAACTGTGTTATTCATAACTTATAGATTAAGAGAGAATTCTTTTCGTATTCAAGCAGTGAGCGCCAAAAACTATTTTCTTGAAAAAAGCCTGTTGTACAAGGCTAAAATCTTGTTATTCAGAAAGCTTAACTTGTTTGGAAGTGGAGATGAACGATGAAAGTGGAATCAAAGTGTTAACCCGAAAATGAGGTTTAGGCCTTTTCTATAAAAAAGCCTGACAAAACTACATTCTAACACAAATGCAACAAAACATCTTTGTACAGTTGAAAATACCGCTTCAAACAAGCACTTTATCATAGTACATCAGTTTCTAACTGTTAAAAAAAGGTTTYGAGTGTCAACCCAAAACCAAAATTGGGATCAAAACTCATACGAAGTCTAGTTTTTGGCGCTTTTTGCCATTATTGCTCTTTATTAAAAAATGTTTCCTCTTAAAGTAATTATTTGATGTTTCATCTAAACATATATTAATAATTCAGTTCCTAGCTCTTCTTAGATCCATCATCAGGGAATATAGTGTTACAAATATGCGAAATCAGTGTAACTAGCGAACTAAAAGAAAGAAGATAGAAATATAAGATAAGTTATAGTGCTTGGGAAAAAAGGAAGGTCGTGGGTTCGAGACCCAGCGAGGTCGGAAATTAATTTTTCCGAATTTATTTCCAAGGGTCTTTCGCCCGGAATAACCTCGTTCCCAAGCACTATAACTTATCTATATTTCTATATCTTGTATTTCAAAAGTGCTACGCGGTCCACATATTCTCATAAAAGAAAGAAGGATGAGTACCCCGATGGAGACCGATATATGAGCGATCTCATTTTAAATTGTGGTGGGGACAACATTCTGTCACTTCCTTACTGATGCTAGTATACGATTATTACAACTCAAGAGACCACCGTGAGCGTCTCTTTTGTAATTTTATTCTATTATTCATGAACTTTCCATTCCTACTAGTACTGTTATTTTCTTTTTTACCTTAATATATATAAAAAAGGTATTTAGATAACCTTGAACTGAAGCCCACCTACCCAGTCTCAACTCAGGTACCATCGACATCATGGCATTGTAACCATACACAGCACCTCCTTTGTCCCGATAGACTATTCCAGCCTGGATCTTYATTTCCCATGGTGTTCCCGTCATTGACTTTCCGTCAGGCAGAATGTGCACTACAAGAATATAAGAATGAACAAAGGGCTCAATGTAAAGAGCAGGGTAGTTTATGTATTCAGACTGTAGCATAATTTTCATTATGTTTATCTTCACTTAAAATCCTTTTTTAGATTTACACCTACTTGTGGAGAAGAGTYGATCTGTTACTGCCTTTGACAGGTATCTGCCTTTATTACCGTCGTCCATTAGTTCTATTTCCAACTATAAGGATATATGACATGGTCAAGCTTTTTTTAACTAGTATACGCCTTACGAATTAAAGACTCAAATTATAGAAATTTAAAGCTTTGAGCTTCCAACTCGGTTTATGTCGCGTATGTTTGACCATGCATCATTGTAAACAATCCCAAAGCGAGTTGGAAAACTAATTCTTGGCAGAATGTGGAAATGCATTTGCGAGACTATGGCTGTACTTTGGATTCCTACTCTTTGTGCCTTTCAATACTTTGGCTGATTTAATTAAAAGCCCTTGTTACCCTTGTATATCATATTTTCTGTACCTTAGACAAGTCCTTTATGGTAGAGAAAAGTCCTCCGGCTGGATTTAACCAGCCCCATTCTGACACTGGCTTCTTTTTACCTAGTGTATCGTAAGCTACAGGTATGTCTTGCAGCTGGCTAGACAAAACCAAAACACACTTGTATATAATTACCAGGATCTATCCAACAACTAAACTATGAGAAAAAAGGTCTATTAATTAAACATGATATTTCTCTTGCGTGAATGACAAGGCTTCACCATGCTTATGACCACTTTACATCCATTCCCTTGACTATGTACTAAGTAAGGGTTCTTTCAGTAAGTATTCATGGTCTATGTAGTCCGTTACCTTTTTCGCAAGAAAAACTTGGAGTCATCCATCTTTAGTGGTTTTAGCACGTACTTCTCTGCCAATAAGTTAAAATTACCCTGTGAAAACCTCTTGGCCAAGACTTGCCCGAGAAGACCATAGCCTAAGTTACTGCAAATATGACAAAAAAGATCAGATGAACATGATTGCATTATTATAATCCCACTATCACGGTTCTTCTCAGAATATTTTTACTCTATTGTAATAACAATTGCCGGGGAGTTGTAATATACAAACGTCCTATTGCTTACACAACGATGATGATTATACCATGTAATAATGAAAGGGTTTACCTAATGTTTCGGCAATCTTACAGCCAAAGAGTCCCCCTCCCCTTTCGGTGACTCTGTTGACCTCCTAGCAATCTATCAATATATCCTATATAAGTTTACCTGTATTGAGAGACGGTGTTGGGCTCCACGAGGAGGGACAAATTCTTGATTCTATCTGTCATTATCGTGTGATTGTAGGGACAGAGGTTTTCGTTGCTGCTAGGATAACAGGGTGCCTCTCGTTGAACACCCGACCTCATCGATGCTAAATCTCTGATAGACAAACGTAAAATTACACCATTGAAGGTCCCTTGCGGGCATATAAAATAATGGCGCTGATTAAATGATAGTTCCTCAATATGTTATACAAAACCGCGAACCAGGACACATATGTCCATAGATTCTCCTTTCTTCCTTGCTGTTTTATGGTGTCAAATGAGGCATGGGTTAGTGTCGACTCCCTAACAATATTTCAAGCATGTATCATCTGTAAGTAATCTTCTCTATTTGTTTACTTACTTTAGAGTTAGATTGTGATTGTTGAACGGGTTGTTAATTTTGAAGTCGGGATCAAAATTGGTAATCGGCTCGTCCAGGGATCTTATAAAATTTTCATCGTACAACTTGTACATCGCTAATGCCTACAAATCAAGAATATTGACAACAGTTCAAAATGTCCGAGAACCGGAAACGTTTTACGTCTATAGTAATACTGTGTATGCGACCCTACAGTGGCCAAGAGAACATCAGCACAGAAACCGTTCAATTTTCATATACAGCTTATTTCAAAAAAGGTGAGTGAAGGTTTTGTTGCATGATGCTTGTTGCATGCTGCTTGTTGGTTACCAAGTTTGTAAATAATGTCAGCACAGAAGAAAAATGTGCCGGTAAAAACGTACATTTACATCGTCTATAAAGTGCAATTCGGGCTTGGTGTACAACATGCAACCAAACCTTCACCAACCTTCTTTGAAATAGCTGTAGGTCATCCACGTGCAGGGTTTGAACAGTGGTCGACGGCCGGCCGCATTGATTGGATAAAGACCGAGAAACCAAGTGGCAGAAATTGCTGATATAGACGACTACAAACTCACCGTTAAGACCTTAGAGATACTCGCACAAGGAAAAACCGTAGAGGAAGAGGGTTTTCTTGGAAACTTTTCAGATCTGTTTAAAACTCCAAATGCACCGTTCCAGATGACTTTGTCGCGATACACTAGATTAGCAGTTAGAGTACCAATCTTCAAAAAAATAAAAGGCATCAATTAAAGTTAGCCACTGTAAAATCGAGCAGCGAGATACGGTTAATTGATTTTTTAATTCTGGAGGTGAAAATAGTTCAAATCAGTGTGAAGATGGCTGCCTACTATAGAATGATGAAGCTACTGCGCACGCCAACTACGCAATTTGACTCTACGATGTGCGCGTGCGCAAATAACCGCTCGTTTTAATTTCAACAAAGCAAAACCTTCAAATTTTGCATGGATTCTTCCTTTTTTTATAATTTCCGAAAGAGTACATAAAAAAAGAAACTTCTGACAAAGTCTGAAAAAATATTGCATGGGTTTTTACTCATAGAAAAAGTGGTAAGGGTACATTTTTTGCACTCCGGCGTTTTAGACAAAAATCGTCAAACACAAGACGCAAGTAACATTTCTCAACATCTTTTGATTCATATTTCTATATTCTAAAACGATGTATGATTTAGATTTCCTGACAATATAACTACAAAGCCTTATTACCTTTAACGCTATGATTTGTTTTCGTAGAAAGTCTAGCGGTTGTCGCTTCTTTTCCCCCCAAGCAATTGTTGATACGCATATATTGTGAATATCTCGAAAACGAACGCGGGACACCTCTTCTTTCTTTTCACATTTGAAATCAGCATTGGGGTTTAGGAAATAGTGATTCAAAACGTTCCATGGATTTTTTTTTCTATATTAGGTAGTTACCTTAATAAGATAACGCATAAACTACGAGTTACAGGGGTGTACTGTCTGTCTCCTACTTATCGCTTATAAAAACCAGTGTGTTCTAGGTGACGGTTTAGATGCATTCCGCACAGCACTTCCTAGATATTCAGTATGAACTCTCGATAGGACGCGGATGGCTCGATGGCACCACGACCCGCCATGAAGCAACCACATATGAACTTACCCCATTCTGAGCTCCATCCTTTCCCGCCATCTTTCTGTTAATCAGATTTTCTATTGCTTTTAATTCAGCATTTAGTTGTTTGGGTAAGGCATCCAATTCAACAGGCTTTGGCAAACCAAGACACTTCGCAGTGTTCTGGGGAAAAAACCATTTGGTACAAAAAGTGTAAATGTAAACTTAGTGTACTTCTTTTTTTACTTGTGTTTTTACATCTTCTTTGCCGCCTCAGTTTTCTAAAAGCCTGGGTTGTTATTTGGTCCGAATTTTTTGGTTTGTTTTTGTGTTGCAGAAAAAAGGTCTTTTGTTTGAAGCCCTAAACCTTAAARTCGTTCAAATGTCTTTTGTGAAATCAGAAATACTTGGAACTGAGGCGATTGTACAACGAACATGATTCGTTGACTGATTTGTTTTGGTGATGTCCTCAGGTTTTTTCGTTTCTTCTCAGACGGCCGTAGTCGGAAGGCTCATATCGCGTGTCATAGCATGCAGCACAGAGCTTTTATCGTTGATCTGGATAAGTCACAATTTGCCATTTGAACAATTTTACAAATTTTGACTGAACTGAAATATGAAAAAGGCGTTTTGAACTTTCAATAAAAACAGCTTCTTGACTTATTTTTTCAAGAGCCTAGGCGAACGAAGTCAGCCAACAATAGGAAAAAAGACTCTTTAATGATTCACGAGTGAAAAATRCATGAATGCCGTTACTCATGATAAGTACTGACTGACCTGTTGAACTTTCGGCATTGATTCACCTGGGGACATTCTCTTAACTTGCCAAATAAAAAGACTTGTYATCACAACAGAAAGGAGGACGAAGAAGGCTAGGAACCAAACCACTACACATAGTTTACTGCAACGAGGCTTTTTCTTTTTCTGGATATAAAGCCGACTATTGATTTGCTTGTTAGGGTCCGCTGCTAAAGGGTAGAAGGTTTGCCTTGGAGGAAAGTGAGCATTGTGGTTGAAGTCCTTGGCATTCATAAAGGCCAGATACTCTTCTCGTGTCTTCCAGCCAGTAACTGAAATGAGAACAGGTTTGAACATTGTGTTCAGTACAAGTCAAGCTGCATCAAGCTATTGTGATCAAGTACTGTTATCAAGCGATGGAGTCCTCTTGTATTGTGGCACGCCATGCGTGGTATGGCCAAAAATGGGCCGTTTTCCTGCTTGACTGGTTTCAAGACTCACACATCGGACAAAGAATTTGAATTCCGGTTTCATTTTTTTTTGAATAGTATCTTATGGCATTATGTGTGGGTATATAAATTTTACAACCCGGCTTACTTCCCATAAGGGGCTACAGTTCCTTCGCTCCACACGAACTAACATCACATTGACTATTACAACACAATACTCAAACTCACACATTTCCAAATCTATAAAGCAAAGAAACAAGGAAATTGAGGGTGAGGGGGTTAATAGGTTTACGGATCGGTGGATTTCGCATATGATTTAGTCCGGGATTACGGATTCAGGTAAAATTTAAAAGGATTGTCGGATCCTGCAAATGCAGCGGAATGAAAATTTATCCATATTGTTTTGGTCCGGTTTCGGTTTTCGAAGTCAGTGTCTAGACTCCTGGCACCCGGGAACCAATTTCAAAATACTAGATACCYGGGAGTTTTTGACTATTGAAAAAAATTCSTCAAATAAACACATCTTTGCCCATTGAAAGTATTCTTACTTCATTTAGAATAGTCAAGCGCTGCTGCTAACAGGTATCTAGTATTTTGAAATTGGTTCACGGGAGCTAGCACGAAAGCGAAAGGGAAAATATAGATATTTTATCATTAACAGAAGCGCTTGACTATTCTAAATAAAGTAAGAATACCGGGTATCTAGACACTTCGTTCGGTTCTTGCTCGTTATAAAATTTGGAACGCGGATTGAAACCCTCTACATTATTGTTTTACGTTTGTTCTTGTCGGACGAGACAAAAAAAGGTAACTGTCAAATTATTCGCAGATTCGGGAATTAATTTTAACCGACCCCAAAAGTTCGAGGCGTCCTTTTACAAGGAACCTTGGCATGCATTTGGCGCCGTATATAGTACTGGCAGATCAGTAATAGTATAATAAATCTGAGCGAATCGTTGTTGGTTCCCGAGAATCCACATTAGAAAACTTGTTAAGTAAAATGAGTTTGATTTCCATAATAAAATATAGCTTATGTACAGAGTAGTTCAAACAATGAACATTTAATGCACTGATAATTACTACAATTATTAAAAAAAGGAAGAGCTTCTGTACTGTTATATTGTCATGTCTGCAAGACACATACCGCAGGAATGGATCTTATTACAAAGAGAGTGGCCTTGAAGTCAGTTAACTCGAATTCACTACTGACCTAATATTTGTTGTACCCGTTACTACTATTACTGCTACTGCCACAAGCATGTATCCAAGGAGAATTTTCATTTTCGTACGCCAATTGACCTGATCAATTTATAGTGATTGTTTACAATCAACATCATCAGTAGGATCGATATAAGGAATATAACTCTAACCCCCTATGTGTATGATTAACTAGATCGTTATCCGTCATCTGAACATCTGAATATCGTGCACTAAAAAAGCCAAAGAGTTAAGCTCATAGTTGCTTTAAAACAACGTTAATAAACTGAACTTGCAAACTTCAAGAGCGCAAAAGACTATCCATCTTATGCCCAATTGTATTAATGATCATCATACTTACTGTAGTAGACCGACATTTTGGTAGATATCCACGATGAAAAACGATAAAGAAGAAAGCCCTTAGGTTGTGTTTGCCATTTGTCAGCCTCTCGACATTATACTAGTGACACGACTGAGATTTATAATCCGGCGTTATTTCGTTTGTGGGGGGAGGGGGATAGTTCTTATGGCACCCGTTCAAAGCTGYATCTGATCTTTCTATAACTCTAAAACCATCTATTGTTAACTTTTCCCTGAATCGAGAAGGTACTAAATCTAATAATCAGTGCTCAGTAGTCAGAACTATAGGATTTGTGGCAGCATTATCTCTCACTCCCCCGGGAAAAATATCAGATCTTGTAAGACTCGGACTGAGCGTTTTCTGCATTTTTGAAGTATTCAGTGCACGGGTCAGCGGACCGGCTCGCTCTTTTGCCTTTAAAACGAGACGAAACCTACTATTTAAGTTTGCTTGATTCAGATGTAATTTTTTTAAAATCTCAACAATCAGTATTTCCCTCTTTAACTTTTAAGGTTAATTTAAGTCTGCAGTATCATCTTTCTAGTATGAACGCCCTTCCTAATTCTAGCAGGCACAAGCCTCCCCCTGTTGCACAGGAGGACTGATTGACACGACTGTAATTGCTTCTCTTGCCTGGTATTATTGCTTTCTCGCTATTGAAAGTATGACAGATTGGCGTCTGTTTACACTGTTGCCCATTAATTGAAGACTTTCAGCCATATATGACTAATACTGGGAAGAAATCGATGAATAGACGCACGGATAACAAGTGGATTCAGTTTAATCGTGAAGGAAATTGAGTTAGGCGAGTCTGCTGGTAAGTCCGTAGCAGCGATGGATTCGATCTACTATAAAATTCTTTCACAAATGTACGTAATAATTAGTCAGGACAGCATTGTTTGCCAAACGTTGTACAAATTAATCATTTTTCAAGTGCCAATTGATTTGAACCCTAGCCCGTCTTTTAATAATTTCGGATACCAAATTTTTGACACATCTAGGATCTTTTGTGTTCAAGATCTAAACAACATTTAAGTCACTAGGCGGCTAGGCTCTTTTCGTACAGCAGTTGGATGTCTTTCATCAAAACAGATAACCAGGGTAACCACTTATAACTTGCTTTGTCTAATTAATCAAGTAGGCATATGTCTAATAAAGCAGACGACTCACGTAGACCAGCCTTGACTACAGGGACGGGGGCTTTCTTCTTTTTCTTCTTTTCATTACCCTTCCCCCTTTCGTAATTTGCCAGAGAAGACCTACCTAGCCCTTACCTTTGATTGTTAAAACATTATCAGGGAAAATATTGATAGAGAAACGATTGGCACTGTATCAATGAAAAAGATCAAAGATATGGATGCAAACCTGATTTATGGAAATTCTGACAAAGTGGTAACAACAAAAAGGGCAAAAAAAATCTATTCCAGGCGGAATGTTGGATCGCTTTTATCACCACGATTGATGGTGTCTTATTCGTATTGGCTGCACGCGATTTATATAACTGCCATAGCACGAATCCTGACTTAAGGCTGCGTGTTACGAGAAACCGTCGGATTTCTTTGATGTCGTTATTGTTTGTTTTTGACGTGCATTATTACATAAGTTTCCCAGGCCGATCATGTACGCCACATATGACGCTTTTTATTTATCGACGGACAAAATAAAACACCCAGGTCAAAGTGCTAGTCACAGCTAGTCACGATAAGTTGTTATTTCTCGTTCAATACGAGAGATCTCTAATACCTTATGATCAGTATGTCATCGGCAAATAAATCAACCTACCACAAACAAACAAACAAACAAAC